CCACTAAAGCCAGTGATGATGAAAATGAAGAATTCTACCAACTTCTTCAGCTTGAAATTGATCAAACATGCAATCAAGATGTATTGATAATCACTGGACATTGGAATGTAAAGGTTGGAAACAAGAAGAATCGGTAGTTGGAAAATATGACCTTGGTGATAGAAATTATGCTGGAAATCATATGATAGAATTTTGAAAGACTAATGACTTCTGCAATGCAAATATCTTTTAAAAAAATAACGTAAAGAACTACTGTACAGCTGGACTATCTTATCACTATACACATGGACCTCACCAGATAGAATACACAGAAATCAAATTGACTGTGTATCTGTGGGAAAACATAGTGGAAAAGCTCCATATCATCAGCCAAAACAAGGCCTGGGGCAGACTGTAGAACAAACCATCAATTGCTCATAGCAAGTTCAGGCTGGAGTTGAAGAATATTAAAACAAGTTCATGAGAGCCAAAATATGACCTTGAACATATCCCACCTGAAATTAGAGATCATCTGAAGAACAGATTTAATGCATTAGACACTAAAGACCGATGACCAAAAGAGTTGTGGAATGACATCAAGAACCTCATATAGGAAGAAAGCAGAAGGTCATTAAAAAGACTAAAGAGATGGTGGAAGTGGGACAAAAGAAGAAGTGGACCTTTTGCTAGTTTACCTACTCTGGTGTGGTCCACAACCAGCTGCTGGACATGTCCTATGAGCAGCTGATGCAGTTGTACAATGTGTGACAATGGCAGTGGCTAAACGCAACCTGCACCGGAAGAAGCATTCGCTACTAAAGCGGCTTTGAAAGGCCAAGAAAGAGGCACTTCCCATAGAGAAGCGTTAGGTGGTGAAGACGCATCTGCAGAACATGATCATTCTGCCTGAGCTGGTAGGCAGCATGGTGGGTGTGTACAATGGTAAGACCTTCAACCTGGTGGAGATCAAACCTGAGATGATTGCCACTACCTGGGCAAGTTCTCCACCACCTACAAACCTGTCAAGCACGGCCAGCCTGGCTTTGGAGCCATCCACTCCTCCTGCTTCATCCTGCTCAAGTAGACCAGTAAAGGCTCCAACTCTTGCTGCCTGTGTCTAATCTGTCCTTCCAGTATCTATGTCATTGAGGGGCTCTGGGGTGGTGTCTGATCCTAGCAGTGCTGCAGCCACAGCAGGGGTGCAAGGTGGAGAGTAGGCTGGGAACTCCCAGGGGGTAGTCTGTGCTGTTGGGCAAAATGCTCTTGCTCTTCTTTATGCTGTCTGCCCCTCTTGCTGGAACTAGCACGATTCCACAGGGTCCCTACTGTACCCAGGTTTCTTTCCTCTAAAGGTGAAGGAAGCTGTAGGATCAGGAGATCTTTGGTGCACAGGTGCTGAGGGTGTGTTCATGGGATCCCCAGACCCCACCATGAGGGGGTGGGAAGGAACAAGATCAAGGATGAGACCAAATAAATCACTCTCCAAATACTGCCCGCCCCCCCAAAAAATAGACAAGGAAGAAGGACAAGACCAAAATGGATGTCAGAAGAGACTCTGAAACTTGGGCTCCAGCTTAAAGATGCTAAAGCAAATGGAAGAAATGAGGAGGTAAAGAGCTGAATAGAAAAGTTCAAAAGGCAGTTCAAGAAGACAAGTCATATATGATAATGAAATGTGCAAAGACCTGGAGTTAGAAAACCAAAAAGGAAGAACATCCTCAGTGTTTCTCAAACTGAAGGAACTGAAGAAAAAAAATTCAAGCCTCAACTAGCAACATTGAAGGATTCTTGGGGCAAAATATTGAGTGATGTAGAAACATCAAAAGAAGATGGAAGGAATGTACAATCACTTGTCTTAAAAGTAATGGTTGATGTTCAGCTATTTCATGAGGTAGCACATGATCAAGAACCAATGATATTGAAGGAAAAAGTCCAAGATGCTTTGAAGGTATTGGCAAAGAACAGGACACTGGGAATAGATGGAATACATATTGAAGTTTTTCAACAAACTGATGCAGTACTGGAGGTACTCATTCATCTACCTGGCCAACTGTCTGGAAGAGATCCATATTCCTATTCCAAAGAGAGGTGACCCAACAGAATGCAGAAATCATTGGACAATATCATTAATATCTCACACAAGTAAAATTTTGCTAAAGATAATTAAAAAATGGCTGCAACCATACATTGAAAGAGAACTTCCATAGGTTCAAGTTGGTTTCAGAAGAGGACATGGAACAAGGGATATCATTGCTGAAATCAGATGAATCTTGTCTGGAAGCAGAGACTACTAGAAAGATGTTTACCTGTGCTTTATTGACTATGCAAAGGCTTTTCAATTGTGAGGATCATGACAAGCTATGGGCAACATTGAGGAGAATGAGTATTCTGGAACACTTAATTGTGGTCATGAGGAAACTGTACATAGATTAAGAGACAATTGTTTTAATAGAACAAGAAAATACCAAATGGTTTAAAATTAGGAAAGGTGATTTCCAGGGTTGTACTCTTTTACCGTACTTGTTGTTAAGTGCCGTCGAGTCAGTTCTGACCCATAGCGACCCTGTACAGGGTTTCCGAGGGTGTAAATCTTTACAGGAGTAGAAAGCCTCATCTTTACCGTACTTACTCAACATGTACACTGAACAAATAATTCGAGAAGCTGGGTTATATGAAGAACCTGACGTTGTTGTTGTTGTTATGCACTGTGAAGTTGGTTCCGACTCATAGCGACCCTGTACAGGGTTTCCAAGGCTGTAAATCTTACGGGAGCAGAAATGCCTCATCTTTCTCCTGCGGAACAGCTGGTAGTTTTGAACTGCTGACCGTGAGATTAGCAGTCTGATTTGTAACCACTATGCTACCAGAGCTCCTTGAACCTGGCATTAGGATTGGAGAAAGAGTCATTAACATCTTGTGATATGCAGATGATACAACCTTGCTTGCTGAAAGCGAAGGGGACTTAAAATATCTACTGATGAAGGTCAAAGACCACAGCCTTTGGTAGGTATGGGTTGCACCTCAATGTAAAGAAAACAAAAATCCTCACTACAGGACCAAAAAACAGCATCCATATAAATGGAGAGGAGTCCTGGTGTGGCGCTGTGGGCTAATGCATCAGACTGCAAAGTCATTTGAACTGCAAAGTCAGTGGTTCAAGCTCATCAGCTGCTCCTTGGAAACCCTATACAGGGTTGCTATGGGTCAGAATCGACTCAACAGCACTTAACAACAACAAATATAAATGGAGAAAGGATTGAAGATGCCAAAGACTTCATTTTGCTCAGATGTCAAAACTCATAGAAGCAGCAGTCAAGAAATCAAAGGACGTATAACATTAACAAATCTGCTGCACAAGACCTCTTTAAAGCATCGAAGAGCAAAGATGTCAGTTTGAGGACTAAGGTGTGCCTGGCCCAAGCCATGATATCTTCCATAACCTCATATGCATGTGAAAGCTGGACAGTGAATAAGGGAGACTGTAGGGGAATTGATGAATTTGAGTTATGGTGTTGGAGAAGAATATTGAAAGTACCATGGATTGCCAAAAGAATCAACCAACCTATTTTAGAAGTACAGCCAGAATGCTTCTTGGAAGCCAGGATGGCCAGACTTTGTCTCTCATACTTTGTATATATTATCAGGAGGGTTCAGTCCCTGCAGAAAGATGTCATGTTTGGTAAAGTAGAGAGTTGCATGAAAAGAGGACGACCCCCCAACTAGATGGATTGGTCCGGTGGCAGCAGCTGTGGGCTCAAACGTAGCAATGATTGTGAGGTTGGTACAGGACTGGGCAGTGCTTCATTCAGTTATGCATAGGGTTGCTATGAGATGGTACCAATTCAATGACCCCTAACAACATCAACAACATTGTCCTATTTACCCCTTCAGTAGTGTTCACATGTACATTTCAGTGACGTTAATTCTGTTATTTATGTTGTTCAGACATCACCACCAGCTGTTCTTGAATTTTTTCCATCACAATTCGGTGCATTCTATGGTGTTCAAATGAGAACTTAGTAAAGTTGAATTTTAAAAAAGTTGTATTACTGAAAAATAAACCTAAAACTACAATCATTGCATTAACATAAGTTTTTCTTAGATTGCTCCCAGTGGTATGTTCTTTGTACATATGTTGTTAAGTGCTGTTGAGTCTATTTCAACTCATAGTGACCCTGCATAGAGTTTCCAAGGAGTGACTGATGGGTTTGAATCATCAGCCTTACAGTTAGCAATCCAGTGCTTATCTTACAGTGTCACACATGTGCTCATTGGTATTCTGTTTCTCAGGTAGTTTTTCATTCACATTTTCACATATCAGTACCACCAAACTATGTGTTTCAAACGACAATACATTGCTAGTGGTGGTAGTTGTTATGAAGTTGATTCCAACTCACGAAAAGCCTATGTGTGCGGAATAGAACTTTGCTCCGTAGGGTAATCAACCCTATGGGCTTTAGGAAGCTGACTGCTATGCTGAGGTGCTTCTGGGTAGGTTGAAACTGCCAACCTTATGGTTAGTAGTCAAGCCCTTAACCTCTTGTGCTATGCAGAGATTCCTTAATACAATAATAAACCAACCAAAACCCACTACCACTGAATAAATGATAACTCATAGAGACCCTATATATGCTTTCCAGGATGATAACTCTTTATGGGAGTAGACAGTTTCATCTTTCTCCCTTGGAGTGGCTGGTGGCTTTGAAACGCTAACCTGCAGGTTAGCAGCCCAGTGCCCAAACCGCAGTGCCACTCTCATGGCAGGTACTCTGCTAGCACTTTGTATTATCATCACATTCATCCTCACAACAATCCTCTGAGTTTGAAGCAATTACTATCCTATTGTGCAATTTGGAGACATTGAAGATCAAGGAGGTTACGCAGTCTGCCCAAGGTCAACCTGCTAAATGGCAGAACTGATCTTAGACTGAGGAGTGACTGGATGCCGAGACTAGGGACTGTACACAGTTCATTGCCTTTTTGATTTCTCTGATCACCCTCTCTTTGCATGGACCACACAGGAAAACAGAAGAAGCATGAACAGCCCCTGGAGGAGGTGCTGGAAGATCTGCGGGCCAAGTTGAAGTGGACCCAAGGGGAACTGGAAGCCCAGAGGGAGGCTGAGCGGCAGCGGCAGCTCCAGGTGGGTATGAGGAGGAAATGTCTTGGACACTTGATCCTATTCAGGACTACTCAGGAGATCTAAAAGGCTCATGTATCCTCGAGTGCCAAAATTCCTGATGGCTTTTCCAGAGCTAGGAGTCAGAGCTGGAATAACACCTTTCTAGACGTGTCCTCGTGTGGCGCTGTGGGTTAATGCACTGGACTGCAAAGGTGATTTGAACTGTAAGGTCGGTGGTTCAAGCTCACCAGCTGCTGCTCAGAAACCCTGTACAGGGTTACTCGGGTCAGAACCAACTCAACAGCACTTAAAAACAACAACAGACTTAGAAAATGATTTTAGGTAGCCTGGAAAGAAAACCTGTATTCTAGCACCCTCTGAGGGCATTTAAATCTGGATTTCAACTTCTTATACTGTACTGCTAGTTAGCTTTTTGAGAGCAAAGACTGGGTCTGATTCTGAAAATTCCAGAGTCCAGCCTAGAGGAGTGTTCAATAAATATCTGTAGAATATAAATGCATAAATGTGCCTCATTCATTCACTTCATCATTCATCTACTCAGTATGCATTTATTGAGCACCAACTATGCCAGGCATTGTGAAGGATATAAAGAGGAGGCATGATCCCTATCATCATGGGACTTTATAGATTAAACTGTGGCTGAGACTGACTCACTCCATGTCCAAACAATGGGGACTGTGGGACAAATGTTCTTTTGATCTCTATAGTGACTTCCATGGGTAAGGGACTAAAATATAATATCCGTAACGTATAATTAATGATTGCATTGTGCTTGCTTTTCTTTGTAGGAAGCAGAGATCATTCGTCAGAGGGAGTTAGAAGCTAAGAAAGATTTCGATGAATGGAAGGAAAAAGAGAGAACCAAGCTTTATGGGGAAATAGACAAGTTAAAGAAATTATTTTGGGATGAATTTAAAAATGTTGCCCACCAGAACTCTACGCTAGAAGAGGTACCCTACATAAAGACTTTCAAAGCTCTTTTGCTGAAAATCTGCTCTTTTGCTCTCAAAATTCATTTCTTAGTTTGTATATGTTTTATTTAATCTGCCTCTGGGGACTGTGAGGCCAGATTACAGAGGCCTTGGTCTGGGTTTGAATCCTTGCTCCATTATATACTGGAGATGCGACCTTGGGCACCTCTCTGTGCCTCAGTTTCTTTTTATAAGATAGATTGGCGAAAGGGCTAAATGATCACATATATAACACTTACAAGAGTATGTAGCAAGAACTCCCTAGGTATTATCTTCATTTTTGCAAAGGTTTCTTTTTCTTTTTTTTGTCACTGAGACAAAATTTACGTGAGTGAATTTTTTCTCCCAACAAATATTCACTGAGTGCCAGGTATCTCCAAATACTCTGTTGCACTTTTTGGGGGTCACACATAATATCTCACATTTACTGATTATCTAAGGGGACTAGCTACTATCAAGTTGATTCTGACTCAGGGGGACCCCTTGTGTCTCAATGTAGGACTGTGCTCTATAGGGTTTCAGTGAAGGGAGATGTTGATTTTTGTGACTATTTACGGGTATGTAGGTATTTAGTGAGGATTAGTTGGATGTTCTTGACTGGGAAAGGTGTGCACTTCTGACACAGCTAAAGGTATCAAAGACATCATGACCATCCAAATCAAACTGTGTCCTGGCCTTTTCAGAAATTGCAGGCACTGCAGTCTCATAGTGTGACAGATTCTAACCTTGGGTTGCTGAGGGATGAAGAGCATGAGGAGCGACTCCGGCAGGCACAGGAGCTCCAGGCCCTGAAGGAGAAGATGGAAATTCAGGTGAGTTGATGCCCTATATTTTTCTTCCCAGATTTTTCCAAGAACCATGTTTTCTCCAAATAAAGCCTCTTGTTTTGGGGACGTTCTGCCAACACATGAATGCTTAGAATAGGGTTCTAAAGTTTGGATAGTAATATGAATGTGTGCACTGTCAGATTCAGCTGCGACTCTGTTTCAAAATGCTACGGGGCTTAAAAAATTCATGGAAAATGGAATGAAAAGAGAATGGAAGTTTTCCATGACTTTTTGAAGACCTCCTCATGTATGAAATACATGAAGCACACTCAACATGTAATATGTATATATAAATGTGCCTGCAGACACACATATACCTTCTATAGGGGAACATGGTGGCTCTGTAGGTAAACACTGGATTGTGAACCTCAAAGTCACCGGTTTGAGTCCACCAGCCACTGTGCAAGAGAAAGATGAGATTTTCTGCTTCTGCAAAGATTTATAGCCTTGGAAACCCTATGAGGGTCACTCTAATTTGGAACCGACTTGATGGCACTTAACAACAATAGCAAAATTTTATACACATTTGCACACAGATCTGCCTATGTAACCAATGACGTATTTTTGTTTTTTACTACATTTATTGCAAAATTTTATGTGTTATATGAGGGTGAGTAAAAAATTATCCTTGTTCTGGCCAGATAATTTAGTTTAATCAACTGTTAGAAAAGACAAATACATACTTTTTTGAAATAATCTTGCTTTTTAATACTTTGTCCACGTGTCAAGCTTTCATATTCCCTTATTAAAAAATGTTTTAGGTTGAGCTGTGAGCCATGAATGTACTGCTGTCTTCACTTCTTTATCAGAGGTGTATCTTTTAACTAAAAGGACTGCTTTCAGGGGATCAAACAGGTGAAAGTCCATTGGAGCAAGATTAGGACTATAGGGAAGATGTTTTAATACCTCAAAAGGAAATTTTTGCAGAGTGTCAACAGTGTAGGCAGAGGTGTGTGGATGTGTATTGTCATGCAAGATCACAATGTCCTTGGAGAGCAGTCCTTTGCTTTTAATCTGAAGTCTAGGCTTCAGCTCTTCAATGAGCAATCTCACTGTAACAAGCGATGTTGATTGATGAACCTTTTTCCTGATAGTGTTCCAATACTGGCCCTTGAGAATCGCAGAAAACTGTAACCATCAATGTTTCAACTGATGGTTGACTTTTGTTTTTAAAATGTTTTTATTGTGAATTATGTGATAGTTTGCATGGGAGAACATTAGTTTTGCGTTTATCCTATCGTATATCATTTCATTGACATGATTACAATCCCCTCCATGCATCATCAAACAACCAAAGGGTATGGCCCGCAAGCCTGCCCCTTGGTCATCAGCACACAGCCCCTCTCCCTGGGTCTAGAGTCCCCAGCCGCTCCATCTCTCCACGTCATCTCTGCCTCCATCTCTGGCGTCACTACTTCTCTGGGTAGGGTCCCAAACTCCACTCTTCTCCCTTGATAGTCCCAGGGACCTCTCCTTCTGGACTGCAAAGTCAATCACTCCCCTCCTTTTGCTACAAAATGTCTACCTTTACATTTCCAACCCTCACAGTCAGTTCTGATAGCAGTTATTCACTATTGTACCACAAGAGTCTTATCTGCATCTCCTTTCATCAGTCCCATCCAGACAGATTGGATACCATTCAGTGGAGAGTCTACATTCCTCTGTGCCCTCTGGATCTAGGCTCCCTCTTGAAAGCTTGTAAGCCAGTCATTTCTTGCCTTTGTAGCCCCCCCCATTTTGGGTAGCCAATGTCTAAGTTGCCCATCCCTGTCTACCCTTTGTACCGAGGGGGTGGGAATGGTCCTGACTGTAAAGATTTGTTCCCTCTTTTGAGCTACTGCATCCATAGGTATATGTCAATGATGGTTGACTTTTGAACTTTTTCTTGGTCAGTGATTAGAGATGTTCTACTCTCAGGCTCATAGTGATGAATTCATGTCTTATCACCAGTAACAATTTTTTTTTAACAACCAGAATTTTATGCTCTTGTATCTTATGAGGTTAGAAGTCCAAATCCAGAGTGCCAGCTTTCGGGGAAGGTGTTCTGTTTGTTGGCTCTGAGGAAAAGTTCTTGTCAACTTTCAGCATCTGTAGGCGCAGCATTCCTTAGAGATCTCCTTACGTCTTAGCATCACTCTTCTGCTGATCTAGTAGTTTCTCAGTGCAGGGACTCTATAATCTGAAAGATGCACTCCAGATCCAAGGGCTTTGCGATCTTCTCTTTTGGTGGTAGTATGTCCCTCCTTCTCGGCTCACTTTACTTCCCGTTTTTTTTTTTTTTTAATTTAAGGTTTTTATTGTGGATTGAGTGAATGTTTACAGGGCACATCATCAGTTTCACATTCAACAATTCATATATCTTGTTTCATTACATTTATTATAATCCCCTCCACATACCATGAGTTAAAAGTATTTCTCTCTATCCACTTTAGCATTTTAAAAACACACAAGCAAAAAAAACCCACTCAGGGATATGTAATAATTTACATCTCCAAAGGGCACATTCTGCAAGTCTGCTGCTGGCCACCAGTTCTTAGTCCTTCTCTTCTTAGTTAATGAATCTAGAGTTCTCAGCCGCTCCCCCTCTCCATGCCCCCATCTCTGCCTCCATCTCTGGTGCTGCTGCTTTTCTGGATAAGGTCCCTCATTCTATTTTGTGTGTTCCTCTCTTGATGGTCCTAGGGTCATCCGCCTCTGGACTGTAAGATTAACCACTCCCCTTTTTTTGCTACAAAACTTCTACCTTTACAAGTGTGACAGTCGCAATTAGTCATGATAACAGTTATTCACTATTGAATCTTACGAATCTTATCCCCATCTCCTTTCACCA